TTTGTTTTTAGTATAATTTCATACAATTATGACTATTTTTTCATTGTTTGACATTTACAGAATCATTAAGATATTAAGACATCATATTTATATACCTTTTTGTTATTTCAGTGAGTATTTGGTCAGAATTAAAGTGAAAACACAGTGGGTTCTGTCATTTGGATATTTAATGTTCAAACATGTCTTAAACCTTAAATTTGTTTTCCAAACACATCATTCAGTGTTCACTTGTGGTATAAAAGGGATAAGCAACCTTTCTGCTGAAGTCTACTTAACAGGAGAGAAGAACTGACCTCAGTTTCTCCAGTTTACAGTTTGGACTCTTCAGTCCAGCACAAAGCAGCTTCACTCCTGAGTCCTCCAGAGGATTACTGCTCAGATCCACCTCAGTCAGCTTGGAGGATTCTGAGCTGAGAACTGTGTGTAAAGCCGAGCAGCTTTTCTCTGTCAGGTTACACTCACTGAGCCTGAAAGTATCATTTGACAGTGAATAAAACGTATGTGTCCTTACTTGCATCACCAACGACCCAAGTACAAGCTTTTCACACATTATATCAGCAAAAAAGGAGACTCCATATTACTTCCCATGGTTTTAGAATGAATTGTTCACCAAACACACATGGAAGCATCTGATATTCTTAAAGTTTCATTTTATTGAACATTTCTGCTGAGAACTTCTGATGAACATTTCTACTGAGCATTTCTGCTAAACGTTTCTAATGAACATTTCTAAAGTTTAATTTTTATTGAAGATTTCTGCTGAACATTTCTACACAACATTTCTATATTTCTACGTTTCTTTTTTATTAAACATTTTTGCTGACCTTCTGATGAACATTTCTGTTATTCTGATGTCCAAATAACTTTGTACCATACAACCAAACATTCATTTGACCACAATTTGAAGACAGCAGGAACAAGAATGACTCATAAATTCAACAGCTTAATTTGATGTCATGTTATAAGTCAAGTTCATATTGTTTATGCAAACTGATTAGTGTTTTCTGCCATCAGTGTACCTATGGCCAAGCTTTATGGGGACACAATAAGCTGAATGGAGAAACAGCTTTTACTTACAGAACTCTTGTGGCTTCCTGGACGACTGGTAGCAGTCTCTTAAAGCATTCATCTGACTTTATGAACTTCTGTAGCTCAAACACTTCCAGATCCTCCTCTGATGTCAGCAACACAAAGACCAGAGCAGACCAATGAGCAGGTGAGAGTTCAGCTTCAGAGAGACTTCCTGAGCTCATGCGGCTTTGGATCTCTTTCACTAGTGAATCATCATTTAACTCCTTCAGACAGTAGAACAGATTGATTGATTTCTCAGGAGATGTATTTTTTTCAAGTTTGGTCTTGATGTACTTAACTATGTCCTTCTGACAGTCAGAGCTGCTTCCTCTGCGTGACAGCAGACCTCGAATGAGGTCCTGATTAGACTCCAATGACAGACCCAGAAGGAAGCGGAGGAAAAGATCCAAATGTCCTTTGTCACTCTCCAAAGCTTTGTCCACTGTAATCTTGAGCAAATCGATTTCTTTTGTTTCTTTACTCTCTTCTGGTTGCTCAAAAACATTCTTGTTTTCATTTTTGAGACTTACGTATGTAAATAAAGCAGCAATGAACTCCTGAATGCTGAGATGCACAAAGCTGAAAACAGTGCCTAGAAATCTGCCAGTTTCCTGATTGCACACTCCTGAGATCACCTTTATGTTATTGGGGTCAATTCCACAGGCCTCTAGATCTTGTGCATAGAATATCAAGTTGTTTTTTTCCAGGTGACTAAAGGCAAGTTTTCCCAGTGAAAGAATTCCCTTTTTATCCCACGGAATATCTGAGACACTCTTTTTATTGTATTTCTTGTCCCCCTGTACAGTCTGAAAGATCAGAAAACATGTGTACATCTCCGTCAGAGTCTGTGGAATCTCTTCACCGTCTGTTCCTCCCAAAATCCCCTCAAGTACGGTAGCTGAAATCCAGCAGAAGACTGGAATATGACACATGATGAAGAGGCTTCTTGATCCTTTAATATGATCAATGATTCTGTTGGCCAGACTCTCATCGCTGATTTTTTTTCTGAAGTATTCCACCTTTTGTACATCATTGAAGCCACGCACCTCTGTGACCCGGTCCACATGTTCAGCAGGGATCTTAGCAGCTGCTGCTGGTCGAGTGGTTATCCAGATCAGAGCAGACGGAAGCAGGTTTCCTTCAATGAGGTTTGTCACTATAGTGTCCAGTGAAGCTGGAATTGATGCATCAGTCCACTTCACATTTTCATGGAAAGTCAGAGGAAGTCGACACTCATCCAGGCCATCAAAGATGAACATGACTTTATACCTATCTGTAAATCTCAGTCCTTTTGCTTCTGGGAAAAATGATAGATGATTTCCCTCAAACTGCGCACTTCCTTCTCCTTCAGGTTCAGCTCTCTGAAAGGCAGTGGAAATATGAACTTGATGTCCTGATATTCTTTCCCTTCAGCCCAGTCTAGAACAAACTTCTGCACACAGATGGATTTTCCGATGCCAGCGACCCCCTGCGTCACCACAGTCCTGATGGGTTTGTCTTCTTCAGATAACGGTTCGAACATGTTTTTACATTCAATTTGTTCCTCTTGCTCCATCTGACTTTTTTCATTTTTCACATTAGTTTTTTGCTTTTCAATTTGTCTCACCTCATGTTCTTCTTTTATTTGTCCACTTCCACCAGCTGTGATGTACAGATCTGTGTAGATCTTGTTAAGATTGTTGGACTCTCCTTGCTTTGCAATTCCTTCACATACACGATTATACTTCTTACACAGGTTTGATTTAAGTGCACGCTGCTGAATTCCTATTAGAGCATCTAATTATATCAGTATAAAACACAAGAAAGACAAATACATTAATTAAATAAATAACTATGTTCGGAAATATTACAGACACTACATTACTACATTTAGTCATACTGTTAAAAAAGTAGAGAAATTAGGGATAGTATTTTGAAGGGTTACAAATTTTCACCTCTTAAGAAAGTTCAGGTGCTGTTTGCTACTCTCTAGTGATCTCTTACCTTGGAGCGCATCAGCAAGGTCACTGTGATCCATCATCTTCAAAAAGTATAACGCCATATCAAGAGTTGCTTCTTTAATACTCCACAGATCATCCCTCACATCTCCATAATAGTTTGTGTTTTCTTTTCTCAGAAATTTCTTAAACATCTCAAGCTCATGTTTTATAAATACAGTCATTTTATTTTCGAGATCCTTCACAAAACACAGAGAAAATAATATTCAGAACCATTTTATAATAAACATATAATAAAATTTTATTTCTTACTTGTAAAATTTCATTTGATTCTTCATAACTGAAAATGCTTCTGAACATAGCAGGCAGGTACATAAAGATTAGACAGAGATGTAAGCAGCAATGTAAAATCTCATATTGATGTTAACAATTAACAAGCTTTGACAACTGAGCAAGCCCTTCTTTACTAAATGGTGAATGTAGACCTTAAATACCAAAACAAAAGCCTTGATTCATTCTCTGTGCACTATCAGGTGTGGTTTATTTCAGAAGTCTCTAGATTATCTTATATGTCTCACAGTTTTAGGTGTACCGATACTTCTATGCCTTCATTCATGCAGGTTTTGCTACTATATGTCTAATGATGTTCCCCATCACACAGAAGGATCCAAAATTGCTAAATTAGACACATCTCCTCATCTGTTTCTAATTCACTGTTCCAGACCGCCAGAGACAGCAGTACATGGTGGAAGGAGTCTCTTGAATTACATTCAGGTCACATGTGACCTCGGCTGATGGCATGTCAGAAGCTATATCAGTTTCCGCCTATGTCATGGTCTCGCAGTCTGTCACTTAGATCTCACTTAGAGATCTTGCTCGAGCGTGCACAGTTTTTGGGTTGGCATTTGCTCCTCGCTATAGCTGTGCCTCGAGACAACAACAAACATATTGGATTTTCATTTCGTCATTGGATTATATTGAATTCGTTGGATCACTCATCGGACCACTGGTTATCCAGGGTTTTCATAAACACCATTTCCCATCAGTGGAATTGAGGTGAGTGTCTATATTAGAACTCATTGGTTAGCCAGGGCTCTAGTTGGACCGTATGTACACACCTGTTGCCCCCCAATTTTTTGTGCCATAGTTGTGCTCTCTGGTGAACCAGGGTGGCATTCATACGTGAGGTTATCGTGACAACCACTATGCCTATTCATCGCAGTACTGCATTTAGTTTTATTTTATTTTCACTTTTGCATTAAGCCTTTGGTTTACCAGGGTTATCCTGCTATTTGTGTAGATAGTTATGGCTGCCTCATCCTCCATATGTTCAGGTCCTATGGATCTTATGGATGCACATATTCAATACCCTGCCTGTCTGTACATCGAGCACATCAGGGAGGCCCTACTCAATAATTGCCCGGAGAGTAATTTAATTCCTTTGGAGGTTAGGCAACAAAGGGTGGCAAGATTTGAATTTTAAATTTCAGAATTCTCCTGCACCATCCAGAACCAAGTTTCAAATATGTAATAAATGATTTGCAAGTAAGATTGAAGGGCCTATAAAGAAGAAACGAGCCCTCTCTATGATACTATACCCCACTGGACACATTATCTCTAGATTACTGAAGGGCAGGACCATTATGCCCCCCTTGGAGGAGATATCATTGTCACATTCTCAGTCTCAACACTCTGATAGTGATGAGGGTTCAGGCCTTCAAGGTGCTGATTCTTCAGTAGTCTTTTCACTGCAGGATACAATCAAAGACCCACTTCCTCCTGTGTTGGACCCTTCAAACCTATTGGATCATCCAGTCGTGTGGCCAGTCACCTAGTTGTCCTGATTTTACGGAAGTGGTAAAATCATCTGCACACACACTGGAAGCAGAATTACATTTACAGCATATGGCAGATGCTCTTATACAGAGCGGGCACATTTATCTCATTTATACATCTGAGCAATTGAGGGTTAAGGACCCATCAGTGGTAGCTTGGCAGTACTGGGGTTTGAACTCATGATCTTCTGAGCAGCAGACCCATGTCTTAACCACTGAGCTACCACTGCCCCAGAGCCCAGGATAAGGGGCCTTGGACACTTAAACAAAAGCCTCAAGCATCTTCCTTTTCGCATGTTATGGGTGGCAGATGTCCGACATGCTATCAGAACTGGAATGTGGTTCACCACGGTGGAGTTGAAGGATGCGTATTTCCATATTCCCATTGCACCACAGAAGGTTCTTTCAGTTCACATTTCAGGACAAGTCTTATCAGTTCCATGTCCTACTCTTTCTCCCTGGGTCTTCACACAGTGCATTCAGGTGGCACTGGAACCTCTTCAGTGGGAGGGCATGCTGATTCTCCCATATTTGGATGATTGGCTGCTGTGCACCAGATCACCTATGCAAGCTGCCAAAATATACATACTGTCGCCACCTTGGGTCTGAAAGTAAACCTCAGCCCCATGCCAGCCAGTGTGCTTCCTGGGTATGCACTTGGACTCCAGGTCAATGAGGGCCAACCTCACAGACGGCAGAAGGCAGGCCTTGTGGAGAACCTTAGCAAAGTTCCAGGTTCATGGCAAGCTGCCTATATAGACTTCCTACTGCTGCCGAGCATTCTCACGGCGGCCTCATCAGTCATTCAACTAGAACTTTTGCATCTTTGCCCATTCCAATGCTAGTTGATAGCCAGATGTTTGTCATCAGTGCACAATCGGGGCACTGTAGTTCGAGTCATGACCAGCTGCACTGCCTCTAAGAGTCTGGAGGAGGGAGAGGTTACTACAAAGAGGCATACCAATAACTACAGCTAGGTGCATTTCACATCAACCTTTTGGAGTGGGTAGTACTTTTCACCCTGAGACATTTCATGAGGGAACTCTCAGGCAGACATATTCTGATAAGGACAGACAACACCACAGTGGTGTTTTTAATCAAGGACCTGAGCAGCTGTGGCTCAGGTGGTAGATAGGGTTGTCCACTAATCATAGAGTTGGCAGTTCAATTCCTGGCCCATGTGACTCCACATGCCAAAGTGTCCTTGGGCAAGAAACTGAACCCCAAGTTGCTCCCAATGTCAAGCTAGCACCTTGCATGGCAGCTCTGCTACCATTGCTGCATTTTTAACCGCTAAGGTTAAGAAACATCTATATAAGTGCAACATTTACCATTTACCCAGGAGGTACAAGGTCTCTATCTTGTCACCCTGCAGCTGACACAAGCGCTTCTGCGGTGAACACTTCCTGTGTCTCCCTGGTCCACAAATGGCCAGATCTCCTTCTCCATACCTTTCCCCCATTCCACTCCTCTGGTCAGTCCTGAGGCATGTACAGGAAAAGCATCACAGGCTCATTCTAGTGGCCCACTGTTGGCTTAGTTCACTCTTCTATCAACTCTCACAACTGGTCCACCTCAGCCACTGCCAGCTCGGAAGGATCTGCTGTCACAGATGAACCAGGTGCTGTGGCATCCCTGGACAGATGACGCTCTCCCAATGCTCAGCAGGAGTGAGGAAGACTGTCATGAGTGCAATGTCCCCTTCAACACATCGTACTTATGCCTGTAAGTGGAGACTGTTTGTTTCATGGTGTATAGATCGAGCTCTTAGCCCAGATTTCTGTCCCATAAGCATGGTATTGACAATCCTGCAGTACTTATTGGACATGGGACGTTCCCCAGCCACTCTTAAGATGTTTATGGCAGCGCTGTCAGCCCACCGCGACCCTGTGGGTGTTGATTGGTGCAAATAGGCTAGTGTTGGCTTTTCTTAAAGGAGCTATGCATCTTAAGCCATGAGCACGGATGGTGTATACCCAGTGGGATTTGCAGGTTGTGTTAGACAAGTTTGTGTTCAGCACCCTATGAGCCGATTGAGCAAAAAGATATTAGGAGTTTTTCCATGAAACACTGCTTTCCTTGTGGCATCAACCAGAAGAGTCGGCGAGTTGCATACTCTCTCAATGAGTCCACAATGACTCAGGTGGGGGCCACAGGATAATCAGTTTACACTTTGGCTGACCCAGCTTTCCAGCCCAATGTATTGCCAGCTCAGTTCACAAATCAGCCTATTCAGTTGGTGGTGTTTCAACAGGAGGATGAGGCCTTCCAGGCAGCGCTATGTCCAATTTGTGCTTTAAGGCAATAAGTGCTAAGGACCATCTCATGGTGTACCATGGATCAACTACCATCTGTCATGGGCCCAGCAGAAGAGGTGCACCCTTGTCAAAGCAAAGGCTCTCTCACTGGGTAGTAGACACTATTGTTAAGGCATATTGCTTGAGAGGCTGTATAGCTCAGACATCTATCAGGTATCATTCAACTCTGGCAGTGGCCACTTCTTGGCCAGCATTGCATGGCGGGCCCCATCTGAGATATGTGCGGCGGACACATGGGCATCGTTCTCAATGTGGCCACTATTTCTTCAGTTAGCTCCAATGTATTAATTGACAACCAGGTCCTAATGAGTAGTAATGCCCAGAATTTATTTTCACCTAATTAATGAATAATCTTAGCAGTTTATTGATGCTGATGTATACTACTTGTCACAGAAGACACTCTCGTCTTCAGTTTGTCCACTCTCCATAACTGAGGTGCCATTTAAACACATTAGGATTAATCAAGTGATCTGGATTCCCTTCCATTTTAGGGACTTTACAGCTAAGCAAACTGCATTTTTGGATTTGTTTGTTCTGTAAATGTGAGACTAGCACACTATTTTATCACTCCGTTCTGTTCTAGTTTTCATCATCAAACTAGACACCTGTCTTTTTTAAACTTATCTGAAATAAATAACCCCCAAATGTTTTCTGAAAAGGTGTAATGGTGGACATCATGGGAAGCAAACAAAGCTGATTTAAGTCTTACATTGAAGATGTTGTAGAGAAAGTCTGTAATCTTCTTCTCTAATTTGGCAGTTTTCACAGTATCTTCAGACTTACAATGATTTCTACAGTCAAAATGAAATATTTTATTATTAGCAGTTTAATTAAGAATAATAAATGACAGTATTAAATTAGAAAAAATTATACCTTTCCTTGGAATGTATCCCTTTTGTTTTGTCAGTGCTAGGGGTATTCTTTAGCTGTCTAGCTGGGGAGGAATTTTGTCTAAAAGAGAATGGAAAAGAGTTTCCATATTACACTGTAAATGTACCAATATTGAAAAACAGGTTTAATGTATTGTTTTAAAAAAAACATCCCACCTGACTAATATGTCCAATAAAAATCAATAAGGAGTACATGTGTATGTGAACCCCTGACCATCACACCCATATGTGCTTTTTCCCCAAAACTATTGCCACAAAGTCAGAAGTACACAATTGTATAGAATGTCTCTGTACGCTGTAGCATTACAATTTCCCTTCACTGGAACTAAGAGGCCCAAACCTGTTCCAGCATGACGATACCCTCTGTACAGACTGAACTCCATGAAGACATGGTGTTAAGGTTGGAAGTAGGTGGAAGAACTCAAGTGTCCTGCACAGAGCCCTGACTTCAACCCCACTGAACATCTTTGGGATGGCCTGGAACTGGAGCCTTCTTACCCAACATCAGTGCCTGACCTCAACCTCACTAATGCTCTTACAGCTGAATGATCACAAATTCTCACAGCCAAAATGTGGTGGAAAGCCGACCCAGAATATTGGAGTTTATTATAACAGCAAAGGGGGAATAAATCTGGAAGAGGACATTCAACAAGCACATATGGGTGTGATGGTCAGGGATGAACAAACTTTTGGACATATAGTGTACTTATAACAGAGTGATTTATTTGTGTTTCATAAAAACAAATAAAAATGAGCAACCAAAAGTGATAAGGATTCTCACAAAGCTATGAAAACCGAACATAGCATTAATAAATTCATTTTATCTAAATGTGATAAAGTTAGCATTTAGCTAAATTGCAATTTAAATGTAACCTTTTTTGGTCTGGTCAGCACTTTCTTAACTTGATTTTAATTCTTAACAGTTTATTTGAGTTGAATCTAAATGAAAAGATTTCTCAAAAGCTATGTAAGAGCAGAAAAAAACACTTTACTTCTCTGTTGTGATATTAAACTAGTCTCTTCTATACTGATAATATTACCTATCAAAAAAAATTAAATACTTACATTTAAGAAGTTTTACTGCACTGGGTAGTAGAGTTATCAATAGGTGTGTCTAAATACTAAAAGGTTTAATCTTTTAACATGCTATTTTAAATAATAGAATAACTCGTATGATCATAAACCTTAGCTTCCCTGCAAGGGATGACATACTTTTAAATTCAGTAAAAACCTGGACTTGAGGATGAGATTATTTTTGAGAATAGGAAGAGACATTAATACCTTTCCTGGGAGTCTGTTCTCTCATTAAAGTTTATAGATAGTGGCTTTGATTGGTTGCTCTTCAAGGAAAGACATTTGGATACAGGAGACTTTGGTTGTTTTTTCTCCAATCTGCAGAAGTTATAGAGAAATGTGCTTTAGAAAAAAAAAAGTTGTACTTCAAGACGCCTACTGAATCCTTCATGTTGTAAATTTAAGTAGAAACAAGTAGATTTAAATCAATTTTAAAAGAATCAAGTGGATCCAATAGAAGACTGATTAAAGGTCCCATTTGCACGCAGCAATAATCCTCCTCACTACAAAGTGTTATTAAAATTCTCTGTTTCTATGATTATGATTTATTATACTATAATTTCTTCTTGTTTTAGCTGATTATGCTTGTTATGTACACCGCATCTTTCTATGAATTTGTTCAGATTGCCTTTGATCGAGTCTTCGCCTCTGTCTGCTTTGGACTGTCTGTGGCTTGGCATTTTGAAATGTATTAAGAGTTTCTTGAAATTTGTTCTGGTACTTTTGCAAAATAACACTGCACTCTATCTTTGCAGACTGGGACAATGTCATGAGCAGATATTGGCTATAAACCAATAAATCCTTTACCAGTTCCAATCTAGGAAACTTTCTAAAGATGTATCTGAAGGTGAGTTTATGATGAGCAAGAGGAGGATAACAATACCTTTCCTGAGATTCTTTTCCCTCTTTAAAGTTAATAGAGTGTGGCTTGGATTGGTCACTCTTAAAG